AAATCAAGATCAATCCATGATCTGAGTGAATTATCTTAGTTGGAATTGATTGCCATAAACATTGTTTACATCTTAAGGCTGATACAGCAGGAAACATTAATATAATTAACATTCATTCTGAATTTGGTGTCTTTAAAGATTTGACTTTCCTTTAGACTTTTACTTCATACTTCATTGTTAGAATTAACACCGTCTTGGGAGAAAAATCCCTGCAGTAGGCCTTCATATCAATTTGGGTTTATTTCCTCTTCTATGAAAGATTTCAAATTAAGTAATTAAAATAATTTAAAATCGTGTTAATCTAACTGTCAGTTCATTTCTCATCTTCCACAGACCCTGGTCTTTTTCAGTGGAATTAACTGTGGTAAACCTGATATTCTTCTTGATTCTCTGCTACATTTTCCCTTCAACCATGAGGCCTCCAGTTTGCACATCTGAAGTCGGTGTGCTTCTAGCAGTAGAGCTTAATATGCATTTTGTGTAGATAACCAGAATTTCTCTATTCTAGATTAAAGGTAGACTACTAATTTTCAAGCCCTGTTTATTTATTTATCAGTGTTTACTTATAGGAAGAGTGTTCATAATAATCTACATAAGCATCTAGTTCAGAGTTTCCTCCCCTGTTGTTACCTATCTGTACCTCCTCCTCCCCACAGTATTGCAGACTGTCACCAAAGTAGTGCTTCTTAGAATATCTGTAGTGAAGAACTTCTTATTATGTGTCTTCATTACATTTTATTTTTTAAAGTAACTCGTTTTTACGTAGTGTTTTTCTAAAGGTTCTGTGACCGATTAAAAACGAAGAAAAACATGCAAAATATGAGTCGAAATCTTTCATCATTAAAGTCAACAGACATCAAATTATTTTGTCACATTCTATAAAAGTTTCTAGTTACTGGCAATTTCTGTTTTTCGAGGAGATTCATACTTGAAGTTTCTAGAATGTGCTGTGTGCTAGTGTGCATCTTTGCTTGGGCTAGTGCTCCTCTAACTCCCTAAAGAACACTAAAACTCTTCTTTTTCAATTGGTCGAGCCTTAGTGTTCCTCATGTCAATTGACATGTCACCTCTGTAGAGTGCCTTCTTTAAGCATAGTATTCCCAGCCTTGTCACCCGGCCATTTTCCCCAAAATTTGTCTGATGCTTTTGCCGCTCTGCTCATGCCTTCTTTTCAGTAATATCTCACTGTTGTTGGTTATGTTTTTTTCCTGACTGGTGTTGAGATTATTAAAAGACTGGATTATCACCAAGTTATTCTTAAACTTCAGCTCTTAAGACATAGCAGCTTCTTTATAAATATTTATGGATTTCTGACTTCTACTATGGTCAACTTGAAATAATAGTGACTGTATAGATGGGAGATAGTTCATATCCACCTTTATCTACTCACCTTTTAAAATAGGTTATTCTTTCTTTCCTCACCTGGGTCTTGGATACATTTCTGCACAGAGAATACTTATGGCAGCATAGTTTTTGTGGAAATTCTTGAAATCACACAGCAGAGATTTTGTTTAAACACAACCAAGATATTATGTCTTGACTCTTACTTTCTTAGAAAATAAGCCTTTCTCAAACTTTCTGCTCTCAGAATGCCTTAATATTCTTAAATTATTGATGATCTAAGCTTTTACTTTTATGAGTCATGAGAACCGATCTTTACCATATTAGAACTTTAAACTTAGAAAAAATTTAAAACATAGGAATGCTCAAGTAGAGTCCCATTAGCCATCAAAGCAATGACTAATACATAGCCTCTGGACAACTTCAGTGTATACTCACGATAGAAGGATAGAAAAAAGCTTCTTATCATTATGCAAGTAATCTTGA